CAGACATGCATACATCTTCCATCTTAACAATTTTCCCTGCATTCTGACTGCCTGATCCTTCCCAGAGACTATTAAATAACTTGAAACTTAAATAACTTGATAGTTTCATCGGGGGGAAGGGAGAGGAAGGCAATGTCCATTTCCTTCCTAATTCCACACTCCGTTTCCTTCATATTGCTGCTATGTCAATATACTTGTGGTCTATGTACTTTACACCTACAAATCTTTGTGTTACTTATGATATAATAGATCTATAGGGATAAAGATTTTTTTTATATTTGAAGTAACCTGTGTGTCTTGAGCCGTAATCCCAGAACAGCTATTATTGTTGCTAAACTGACATGGAAACTATAATTTCCTGACCTAAGGAGTAGAAGCATAACAAAAACAGTGGACGAGTTGAATGATTCTGTTGTCATCGAATATACCAGCCATTGGTTAATTAAGATCTCTTTAAACCTGCTTCGGAATGATTTCTTCAAAACAAAACAAACTGGCAGGAAGCTGTGTGCAAGATGTTGGTAAATGCATGAAATATTGTATTGGTCTATTTCTTCTAAAGAAGTAAAAATGTGAGTTGGGGTGTGGTATAGATACTGACCTGTATGAAGTATGCATCAGTAACATAGACTTGGGTAACATGGACTTTGTTGTGGTTTTAATTATCAGAAGGAATAAACCACATCTGTTTGGTTATTTCAGTATTCTGGACTTTTATTTCTATTAAAAATAAGTAGTAGAGAAGCAAGATCTAGTTCAGTAGATGAATGATCAGTACGAATCTGGTTAATGTGGTTTCATGACATAGTTTTAGAGTTGAAATTGTGGTCAGTAGAGAGGTGGGACTGTAAATGGCTCGTGGCAGTGCGTGGTACACCTGGCACGCGTGCATCTGTTCATCGTTTTAGTTTAAAGCTGATGTAGCACCTTATTGCTGCTGCTATAATGAAATGCTAGGGAAATGCCTTGTTAAAGTGTAGTTTAACATTATTAAAAACAAAACAGTAATTAGAAGGCCTCACAAATGAAAAAGAAAACAAGAGGCTTATAACCATTTTGTAACACAGTTCGTCCTTCACCACCACGACCTGTCACTCACCTAGGCTTTGATGAGTAAAATAATCTCTGTGTTTGTGACCTTTTACAGCCAGAATTAGAAGGAACAAGTAAAAAGGAAAGGGGAAAAAGAAACAAAGAGGAAAACAAAGGAGGAGAGTGTCAAGACAAGGTTTATCTATGTTCTGTCTCCATGTTTATCTATGATCGTAATGAAAAAATTACACACGTGAGTAAACAAGTACAAAAGAAAAAGAGTCATCACAACTGGGGAAACGTATTTCATGTCACTGCTCAATCATGGTCCTTGTTAACTGGAAAAATTCAGTCAGCTTGGTCCACTAGCATTTTATTCCTATTGGAAAAAGTTAATAGAAACAAGCAGTTCTTTTTTTCATTCCAACAATTTAAATTTGTGCAGGAGGGACAAGGGGAAGGAGAAGTGGGTGCGCATATGCAGTATGTGCATGTGTGGGAGTAGGGAAGACAGCTTGCTACTTGTATTCCCACCACCTGCCCGAGGCAGTAACTCAGATGCACACAGAACTGAGATATATGAAGGGACCACACCTGTCAGAGTAGGAAACCCATCAGGGAAACATGTCTATCACATATCCTTTCAATGGCATGCAATTACAGTCAGATTGAGAAGGTACAGGCAATTAGTTCAGAGTCCATATTCAGGCTGATGATCAGGAGGAAGATTTGGCTCTGTTCAGACTTTGGAAGAGTGCTGAGCTGCTGTGACGTGTGGCTGTTAGCTCCATGTGTGCTTCAGCACGGCACAGAAAGTCTGACTTCTGGCACCAAGAGTTAGCATCTGTTTCCAGTGGTTCCAGGCACAACCTCCTGGTTTCCAGTAGGGTCCTAATTACACAATGTTTGCGCTAAGCTCCTCCACATGGTCAGAGGCAACAGACAGAAAGACACAGCTACTATTCAAACGGCTGAAGATTGTCAGCTCCATTGGCTGAATTGTGGACACGATCCTTGGAAACCCTATTTCATCAATATTTGCTCTGTTTCCTCCTTTTTTTTGGTTGGCTCTAATTTTTATCAGGTCTGTTTAAAGTTTAACAGTGGAAATTAAGCAGAAGATGATGTAGCAGTATAAGTACTGCTACATGTGGAGAACAGCACGGTCAGCTGAATGCAGCAGGGCTTCTGATTTTGTAAGTACTACATGTGCGTTTTTCTTAGACACTTGCAAACGATGCTTTCTGCGGTTGGTGGAATTTTCATGTCAGGTTAATTTCATTTGTCTGCTTGTGACTTGGTTGTGTGCAGATGTTGCCATGAAATATTAATCAAGCAAACATGCAAGGGACCAGTGGGACCTGCTGTTCTGGGGGAGTATGCTTAGCCTGAAATTAGAATAAAATAACCTTTGAAGTCATGGGGACTTATTAAGTAGTTGTTAAAGCAGAATATTGATGAAATCACCTTTTAGGTTGGAAACAGCTTTCACAGTGACTCGAAATTAGCATAATCCCACAAGTGACTGAACAACCAGGTCCAATTTATAAGCTCTTCCGGTGACTTAATGTATAAAACAACCATTGAATTGCTAAGGCCAGGCTCTCTAATTAGGACTGGGGTGAGCGTAGGGGGTGGGAGGAAGGCCACAATTTAAACTTAATTACCCCTTTTATTCCCATAGACAAACTAATCTGTGATTTGGCAGAGAATTATTTTCTGAATTTCCAATTTGCATATAAAAAATACAGCCCAGATTTAATAAAGTCTTTCCAGTTTCTTCAGCTTTGAAACGGTACAAAAAATATTTGTGGCTGAAATTTTCTGACTTCAAAATGTTGAAATTAATGTGATTAATATCTCTAAAGAGAAAAGTATGTGGGGAAAACTTGATGACAATATTGAGTGTTTTCCAGCTTCTGGTAGAAGTAGTTATTTAATATGTCTGTAGAGAGCTGTGATACTAAGAGATTTTTTTAACTGTTCTGTTATAGTAGAAGTTGAAAACAGAGCCACGCCTAATATAAGCTTGCTGCAGAAAAACCATACTCTGTTTCAGAAATTCTTTGAAATTTAGGCTCAGCTCTGTTTGTACACAGGAAGTGGTCATGGGCAGACAAAAATTATCATCTTTTTCACTTAAGTGTGTAATACCTCAAATAACTAGATAAAAATGGTCTATGAAATGTTAAACAGCAAGTACTTTTGAAACACCCTCTGTACTACATGATTGGTTCATTTGTCTGTAGTACATAAGGGGTTTTTTTGGCTAGGAGGAAGAGGGAGATTTCTGCTTAAAAGAGATGCAAATAGTTGAATCGTATTCCCATCTAGGGCCATACTGCATCTTTCGGTTTAAGGAAATCAAAATTTTGCGTTATCACTTCTTACTGCAGGTCACTGCAGTGGTCACCGTCTGCTCTCAGACATACTCAGCATACTCAGAACCTAGCAAATATGAGAACACACAGGTAGTGTATATGTTTGTTATAAAAAACAAAAAAGACCACCATACCAATAAAAAAATAAAGCAACTGGTTAATCACCAAGAATCCTGGAACTTGGGCTGCCCTCAGAAACTCTATCTAAATCTTGTTTAGATAGTAGATACAGTCATCTTTCACATCTGGGAATGAATACGGGACCAAGAGAACTTCACCTTGGCAGGACATGGGAAAATGCATTCCTGGAAGAGAAGGATACAAACAGGCTGTGTTGGCTGGAAACCAGAAGAAGAGGAGCCGTAACAGTAGTAAAGTTCTAGAAATGTTTTCCTGTAGAAGCTGCAAGGGCAAAAAGCTTATTTTCATAGACAGCTTGTTACATTTCTGAAGAGGGTTTATATGAGATGCCTCCCCAGAATAGCAGGGAACTGAATTCGGTAGAGACTTGTTCCAGCTCCTATGGAGGGCAGGAGGCTCATGTGAAGCATATCATGTCAGCTTTAGGAGAACAAGCATAATGAAGAAACTTGTCATCTCCAAGGGGATTAATCTGAGTGTCCTTTGATTTCCAAATGGGATCTGTACTCCTCTTTTCCTCTTGGACCCAGGTCCTTCCTGTGTCTCTAGAGGGAGCCACATGTCCCAGGCAGGTTAACCCATGGTGAGGGGCAAACCACCATTTAAGAAGTTACAAACACTTGTTGCAGCCCCCTGAAAGGAAGGTCCCTTCGTTCCAAACATGCACCTCATTATCTGCTGCAAACCTGCTGCTTCCTACACGTCTTTATGCCCACTTCTGAGTGTCCTGCTGCCATGGCACAGGGTGCTCCAGGCTTTTGCCTTGAATTTTGCCTTGAAGTTTATGTAGATGACTTTCCTCCATCACTTATCAGCTGTGGCCAATGACTGGCCGTGTGAGTAAGTAACCATGAAGTAAACAGGGGTGTGAATTTAACAAGCACTAGATAGTCCATGACAGCCATCTGTCCATGTGCTGCTGCCCTGATAAATGTGAGGGAATTTATCCCATTTCCAGTGAGAAGTGAGCTGCCTCACATTTCCTCCATTTACCAAACTGCATTTGGGCAGATACTCTGGAGTACTTGATGTCTTTGAAATGCACACCCCGTCTTACCCCATGGTAACTTGTTTGTTTAGATGTACCCTGTAGGAGACAATGATCCAGGGAAGATAATGTGATTGTTAATAGAGATTATTATGGACTTTGGCTCTATACTTTTATTGCCAATGAAGAAGAGAATTGCCTTTTCAGGGCAGTTACAATGGAATATTATGGTTTTATTATGCCTGACATTTTAATTTATAATTTGGTTGAATTTATTAATGACATTTGACATTGTGTCCATGGGCACTTTAAATATCCTATGTACATTAGATCTTTACAGTTGCACTATATAATATTTATGCTAACAAACTATTCATTATTTCTTACTACCAAGCTCATCGTTACCATCTGCTCATCTAATGACTGTTTATTTTGTGACAGAATAATTCGAAAAGAAGATGAAGTATCTCTTGTGCCTGTGTTTACTCCTTGCTGTCCTTTGTGCCGCAACCCATTACCACCGAGAAGACATTTGCCATGAAGTCAATAATACTAATCTGCACGATGGAACAGAAAATTTATTAACACATAACTGTGACAAGCAAGGCTCTAACTATGCAGATTTTGTATTTAGATTTTACAAGCAGGCTATATCAAAAAAAGCTGATGAAAATGTTTTCTTTTCTCCCATGAGCATCTCCACTGCCTTTGCCATGCTGGCTGTTGGTGCTAAGTCAACCACCCTGTCTCAGATTTTTGAAAGTCTGGGCTTTGACGATCTCACTGAGACTCGCATACATGATATACATGAAAGTTTTCATAAAGTTTTAGCAGTACTGAACTGTACTGATGTTAACATCACATTAAGTATAGGGAATCTCCTTTTTACAGCTATTGGGTATGAACCACAGGAGACATTTTTACAAAATACCAAACAATTTTATGATGCAGAATTTTTTTCTAGCAATTTCCATAAACCAGAAGAAGCTAAGAAGCAAATAAATAAATATGTAGAGGCCAAAACCAAGGGTAAAATTCCTGAATTAATTGGTCATCTTGATGCAAGTACTGTATTGGTTCTTGTTAACTACATTTATTTTAAAGGTAAGATATTTAACATAATATTCCTATAGATGATTTTGATGCAAAACAAAAATTGTAGGGAACTCTTAATGATCTATTAGCAGAGTGACTATTTAGGAAAGAGCTTAACTGTGCAGGACCTTCAAAGTAAAGGTTAGATCTGGCCAAAAGCAGGGTACCGGATTGTTGAGAAATATTGATTGCTTGATTCAGTTTGCCTGAAAGCTGCAGACAGAGAAGTCCCACTCTAGTGGACTGCCTCATAGACAGGGACTTACTGCACACAGTCTCGCCGGTCTGAGGGCATAATGACTAAAGATGTTTCCAAGATGTCTATGCTGACTGTATGTGCCAGTCAAACTTAGTGGACTGATATCTTTGCACTTCCAGGGTCCCCAGTATTATGGTAGAACTACTAGGTATGCTGCATGAAGACTTGAGACATAGCATTTTGAGGGCCTGTGCTTCTGGAGCCCTGCTTGAGTGTTAGGATCCTTTATTCTGTTGATGAATTCCTCACCAGGCTGAGAGCAGTCAGCTTGCATCGGGTACGGCCTAACAGGAAAGGCATAACAAGGTCCTGTGGCTGAATGTTTAAGTGGTTGAATTTAAATGACATAAAAGGCACAAGTTGTGGGAACATATGGCTACAATAGAAGCAGGACTCTCTCAACTGGTCCTCATCAACCTTTGGTTGTTTTTCAGCAAGACAGAACTTACTCACAGTAACTGTGCTGAACTTACTGCACAGCTAAAATGCTGTATTGTGTGTTATGCAGGAGGCTGAAGTGATTTAGTGATCCTCTTTTCCCATAAGCAGACCCCCAGCGTCCTAACATTTAAGTTGGTCTGATTTATATCAGCCATTTTTTATGATCTTCACATGTTTGAGAGCAACATCTCTTTTCCCCCATTAGCTGCCTGGGCAAAGTCTTTTGATCCTTTGCGTACATATGAGGATGATTTTTTTGTGAACAAAAATGCACCTGTTAGAGTCAACATGATGCAGCGTGACAGTAACTATGACAGTTACTACGACCAGGATCTCTCTTGCGAGGTGGTAGAGCTGCCTTACCAGGGCACTGCACGAGCATTGCTCATTCTGCCTGATGATGGAAAGATGAAGCAAGTGGAAGATGCTCTCTCCAAGGAAACTGTTTGTAAATGGGATAACAAACTTGAGACCAGGTAACTCTCAGTAGATGGAATAGTATATTTGAGGACACATCATTATTTTTAAGAGAAAGCATTAATTTCAGATCGCCTTCTCCTGGATATAATGTCCTGATTTCATAAAGCGGGGTTTTAAGCGATTCCCAAGACGAGTCAGAGCAGAGCATAATCGATAAGCAACTGCAGGCTCTCTGACCTGACAAGGGGACACAGCATTGCAACAACTGCCTCAAGACTTGCTTGGCTACCTTTTGGCCACCATACCTCTTCTTTCATGGTGCTAACATAATTCATTTGCTTCACTGTGTCTTAGATTTTATCTTCCTTTTCCCTTCTTTTAGCCTTTCTACAGTTGGTCTGCTTACTCTCTGTAGCTCTCTAGCCACAAAACTCTTGCTAGCTGTGTACGTGGCACTGGGATGAAGCAGCGGCAATGAAGAAATTAGTTTCTTTTTCCAAAATCAAAGAGACAATGTAGGTACAAAGAGATGACACATCTCTCTGGATGCCAAAATTGCTCAGGGAATACAAATGTTACCATCAAACAAATTAGCAATCAAAAGAATGCTTTCAAGTGTCACTGAATTGCATACTATCCAGCCTGCTGACTGAAACAACACTGCAATGCTTCACTGCTGTTTCGTTTTCTTTGTTCAACAGGAGATTAAATCTGCAGTTACCAAAGATTTCTATTAGTGGGTCTTACGATCTTAAAAAACTGTTCATGGAAATGGGCATGACTGAAGTATTCTCTAGTAATGCTGACCTGTCTGGAATTAGTGGCAGCCACAGTCTACAGGTTTCACAAGTAAGAGAACAGACAGAGCTGGTGATGGGGCGGTGGTTGGTTGCTCTGATCAATTATATCTGGGGTTTTTAGAGACTTGCTTTCCCTCCTTGTCCTACTGAAGTTATAAGTAAAACTCACAATGACATGTAGCGACCTGCTTAGTAATTGTGCTTTTCTACAGAGAGGGTCTGCTGTCCCACCTTTGTATTATTTTAATATTGCTATTAAAAGGCTGGATATTAGGTACACGGAGAAGTTGGACAAGATTTTAAATGATTTCTTGGCACTGGAATATGATTATTAACATGCAATTGTGTCAAGTAAATTATAAATGAGGAGTATATTATTTGTGTTGATTAGTACCTAATTTTTTACTATTCTCAAAGTTTCCAGGAAATTTCCAGTTTGCAGTGGCAGAATTTCACCATGTCAGTTTAAGCTACGATTTAACGTGGCAAAGATGTCAAATACTGCCCCTGTATTAGCATTTAAATAGCAGTCTTCCATTAACCTTGGAATAACAGAGAAAGTGTTGCTAGTGGAAGTCCAAACCATCTAAGAAAATAAACCAGCTAGTGCATGGACTCTTATTATCCCCCTCTACTCAGTACTGGTGAGGGTCCATCTACAGGCCCTCCCCGTTGAGTCCTGACATGGAAAACACTCCTGTTGCAGGCTGTTGGAGATTTACCATACAAGAAAATTTGGTCCACTGGGTTTTATCACTCCTTTCTTCTCCTAAATATTCCATAAAGAGAGTGTGTATCTTCACCCCCTGCTTGCTGTCCCATACATAAACTACAGCGTTTGCTCCTTTTCCCTGCAGGCACTTCACAAGGCCCTGCTGGAAATTGATGAGGCTGGAACTGAGGCTGCAGGAGCCACAGCCATAATCCTTACCAGAGTTCTTCATCCTTCTGTTACCATAAAATTCAACAGGCCCTTCATTATATTGATTTCTGACAAAGCAACCAGCACTACACTTTTCATGGGGAAAATTGTCGATCCTACTAAGAAGTAATTGCTGAGTTATTGGGCATGCTGGTTTTCGGCATGAGTTATAATGTCTACAGTGTTCACACATGGGGGCTAGTTAGTGCTACCAACTACTCTCTGATTGAGGGATATTCAGAAGTAAATGAGGAATTTCCTTATCAAACTAATAAGCAAAAGATTGTAAAAAAACTCCAAGCAACCGACAGTTTTAAAATGTAACATTTTCCCCAGTTGAGTAATTCAAGTTATTAAAACATTTCCAAATTTTCCTTGGAAAACTGTTTTTTGTAAAGTCTGCTGTTATTTTTACAAGTGTATTCTCTCTGCTAAACGGTTTTCTCCAGACTGCTTTCCGTTCTGGGATACTCAACAAAAGCTTTATCCCAACAGGTAACAAGTACCCTGCAATTCTATTATGTCTTCTCTGGGACTTGCTGATGATCAGTGTTCACCTGAGCCAGTCCCTACAGAGCCCTTTCTTCCTTACATAGCTCTTTGCTGCCTAGGCCGTTGTTGCTTACCCTCAACCAACCTGTTCTCTCTCACAAGTTCCAACTCTTTGCCTAGGACGTCTTAAAAAAACATTGACAAAAAAGAGAAAATCCCTGAAACAATAGACTTATTCTGCTGTAGCACTCACTGTAAGTGTCTTTTTGCAGTCCACAGGGTCAGCAAAAACTTTGAGGGACAGTGACACTAGGCATAAACTGTCAAAGAATTGTCCTGCTACAATATCATCCATGAATTATTGCTAAGGCTGATGAATAAAATAAGCACTGTCATTTAAATCCATCAGTCAAGGACTGACTCTCAGTGTCTCCAGCCTGTTCCTATCCTGTTATAAATATTTTAAAATCAACGAAAACATTCAGTCACTCTTATTAACATAGCAGGGTGTCTGTAAAATATGTTTTAAAGGCTGTTAAATGAGTCCAACTTTTCTCATATGGAGATGGCGATTCTTTGCATTCTGTCCTTATGTGCCTACTTGGGTAAAACCTGTTTTCAAGAAATATATAAACACTCTCTTGCTATTGTGGGTCTGCAGATCACCCACTCTTACTGCAGTGGAGCACTGGGGCCTGGTGCTCACCCTTGCTGAAGTCTGTAACAAACCTTTTAACAAGCAGCTGCTGCCTCAAGGAGAGACTGACTCCTGCTTTGGCAGCTGCTTTCCCACTGCACTGCTTTGACTCATGCCATTGCATATAGACCTTGATAAATTTTTTGCAAGTGGAGTTTAGTCCCTGTTGCTGGGAAGATGATGCTCCTGAATGTACATTACTTGTTTCTAAAGTGATCCTGGCAATGTACTGTGAGCACTGTGAAGGTGATGCATGCCCCAAATTAACAAACAAGCTCCCTACCCCTGACATCTCTCTGGTCCTCTGACCTGTTCTCCCAAACTTGGTCCACCCTGCACAGAGGTGCTTTATTGAGACCCACCAGTGCTTGTAACATGGTTATGGTGTACGGGGGGGGCTATGCTTCTGACTCAGGGGGGCTTGGAGACTGCTGCCTTGTATGAGTCCCTTTGCTCCAAGCAGCAAGAACTCAGTGGAAGCCCTGAGCTATTGCTTCTGCTGGAGCAAGATACCATCATTTAGTGGACTGGGAGATACCGCGTCTCTGTGCAAAGCAGCGGCTTTTACAGAGTTGAGATCAATGATAACTTGCTGTGGTGTGAGGCAGCCTGCTCTGAGGTGGCTGTATGAACTCAACAAGAGCTGGGAGCAGCTCCATTGAGATCCCACCCTGATAAATTGATGCACCAGTACTGATTAGAAGGTAGGATGGTGAGATTTTTATCGGAGTGGGGTGGCAGAAGAACAGGTTCTCGGCCTAGTGCTAAAGGGAAAGAGGTTAGGAAAAAATCTCACGGTTGCTAGGACAGAGTAGAGGCTTTGGGAAGTAACACAGGGAGCAAATTCCTGCCCCATCTACTTCCCAGGCCTTTGCTTTTGAGAGTCGAGGCAAGGAACTGCAGGAGGAGAACTGCACTAGGAGTTTTCACACTGGAGCGTGAGGAGTGATTGCGCCTGGCAAACGTATCAAACAGGGCACCTTTGAATGCTGGATGGGTTTGGCAGGTATCTATCACGATGTGGGGCATTACCACAGTTGTCCTCCGGTTGAGGAACTTCACACTCCAGACCAGAAGTTTGGCCTGAGCTGTGGCAGGGACCTGGAGTGGGAAGAGGGATCATCCCAAATCTCTCTGAAAGGGGAGGATGTGGAGAAGACAGGAAAAGAAAATAGTCTTGTGCCTACATGGAAGGCACAAAAATGCCTATAGTTCACAGTATGGAGATCCATAGAGCAGGGGGCTAAATATACCCTGCTGATGCTACTCTCAGCATAGTCCTGATGACGTTCTTTAAGAATTGGACAATTCTGCAAAGCTTTTGTGGAGACAGGGGGCATTTTGTCCTAATTCGAGGAAAATTGTGTTGGTCTGCCTTTCATCATTTGTCTGTGTTGCTTTTATCTGTCTTAGTGTGTGATAGGGAATGTTCCTCTTCATGCTATCTAGTTGTATTAATGGTAGAGAAGGAAAGGAAGGATTCTGATAGACATAAGCTAAAAAATTCCTTTATGTGCTGTGTATTCACTTTGTCTGTGGTAAACACATGTATTTTATGGTGTCCTTCATTCATCTGTAGGTGATTTTATTAACACCCTTCAATTTTCCACTACAACAAAACCAGATCTGATTAGGACAGGTTAATCCCACACATTCATTCTCTCAGTCTACGGGACAGCTGGATCCAAACTAAGCCCTGAAAGAGAACTAGAGCTTCTTTATATGCTGTGAAGTGTTGTCCACTTGACTTCCTGCAGCAACAGTCAGCAGAAGGGGACAATACAGCTTACAGTGGAGTATGTGACACCCTGTCATAACCATCCAAGATAAATGACCTGCTGTGGGTCTGTTAGCCTTGACCTGACATACTTACAGGAAGCTCTGAGGAAACGGACTTACCTTAAGACAGCGTATCTCAGCTGAGAACCCCTGCAAGGGAAGATGGATCCACTGGGATGGGTCCCTGAAGGGCAGCCTAGCTGTGTCCCAGCAGATCTGAGTGCCAGAGTTCTCTTGGCAGCCTCTGAGCCATGTGGGAGACAGTAAGTGACCTTGTTTGTGGTCCACTGGGACTCTGTTTGCTGATGGGATAGCTTCTGTCAGAAGCTCTGTTTGCTTTGCCCCATGATGGAGTCCATGTAGAATGTTGTCACAAACCATGAAGCAGTGGGATTTCAGGGCTAATGCTGTATGTGTTCAATGCATGTTACCTTTCACCAATAAGGAAAGGAGCTGACTCAATGCTAAAAGGCACAAAGCAATCAGATAATCACAGAAACACCAGGTGCTCACATAAGCCCTGCTATTCAGATGCTACCAGTACTTTGGACTTTCCTCTCTCATTCCCAGCTACGTGATTTGAGCCCCAACACTGGTATCTGGAGAACTCGCCCTTGAATGAGCACACCAGCCCTCTCCCCACAGCTACGTCATCTGTGTCAGCCCTTGATCGCTGCTACTATTTCAAGGAAATGGGAACTCACCCAGATGTAAGCCAACCCTATTCTAATTTTTTCAGTAGATTCAGCACCACAAAAGCAGCAGGCTTTCCCCCTGTACTCACACTCATTTCAAGCAGAGAATCACTAAGCTCTTAAAAACCAGTTGATTATGATAGTTCCTGGGCAGGGTGGTTTTTGACTGTGGATTCTGAGAACCAAGACTACCTGTATGGCAGCTACAAGGCAGTCTCAGTGCCTCACAACCCGGCTCGTCTTTGACATGACTCTAAGTAACTTTTGGAGGTATTAAAAAAACAAAAAAAGTTCATAGTAGTGTTATTCCCTAATCCAGCATTCAAGTCTTGTCTCCAAAGCACAGAGGCACTAGAGTTTCCCAGCAGAAAAAAGTGCAAGAGCAATACGAGCATTTTTAAATGCAAATATTTCAATGAAAACTCTAAATATTCACTGCAGTGGGAGCTAGGATGACTGCAAATTCTCAGGAGGGAAAAGAGCATGAAGACCACCATGGGCTAAACCTCTCCCAGTCCTGTGACACATCCTCCTAATCATACCTATCCTTCCAACATTCCCTGTTGGGTAGTGCACCTCTGCCCTTACCCACATGGGGCTGCTTTCATTAGATTTAAACTGAGCACACGTATGCAATGGTGATATCATCCATTCCCTGTAAACTGTTAGCCAGCAAAGACTGATCTGGAAATATCCTTTGTAAGTTCTCGGTCCCAGGTTTAACAGAGAAACCATTTATAAATAACTTGGCAATTGTACTTTCCTCAGACTAACAGTTTTAAAGAAAACAATATAATTCATTCATTTCATGTCGATGTCCTTGAGTATGATTAATACCCTAGTGTCCTGGTTTCGGCAGGGATAGAGTTAATTTCCTTCCTAGCACCTGGTACAGTGCTGTGTTTTGGATTTAGGATGAGAACAAAGTTGATAACACACCAATGTTTTAGTTGTTGCTGGGTAGTGCTTACACTAGTCAAGGACTTTTCAGCTTCCCATGCTCTACCGACTGAGAAGGCTGGAGGTGCACAAGAAGCTGGGAGGGGGCACAGCCAAACTGGCCAAAGGGACATTCCATACCAT